CACCCTTATATATTGAGTAGGAACACCCTGGATGCTCAGGGCTTCAATTACCGCTTCTGTCTCAACGGCGTCAAAGGCTTTCTTCAAGTCGATAAACTTAAGACATAGCGGCATATTGTGCTCTCGCGATACTTCAATGAGCCCTGTTACAGTGTGGATATGATCGATTGTACTGAACCCTCTCTGATACCCTGCTTGCTCGCATGGCTGTCCTTCATCCAATATTCTGCCAATCCTGTTTAGGATGACACGAGTGAAAAGCTTGTAGATTACGGACAGCAGGCAGATTGGGCGATAATTGCCAATATCATCTGGGTCTCCCTTTTTGCACAGCAACACAGCCTCGCTAGTTTTCCACGACGTGACCACTTTGCATTCCGACAGGTACCGTGTGAAGAGCCTAGCCAGAGTTTTGATGATGACTGGTGGTATACTCTTCAGATGTTCTGGTTTGATCCTATCGGGACCGGCGCTGTACAGTTCTTCATCGACGTGGTGGCATGTCGTATTTCGGAAGGGAGAACCGAAGGAGCGATATATTCGTCTTGCCTAAGATGGTGAGTAGGAAGGTAGACGTGGCTGTCGAAGAGATCCGAGTAGAAATCGTAGATGACCTTCTCCATTGCCCTCCGGGATGCAGTAACGGTTCCGTCACGACGACGAAGGGAAGTCATCTTGGTCTTGTAATTGGCGAAGGTCCGTCGGGCTTTGCAAATGCTCTTTCCGGCCTCGGCGGCTTCGTCCACGACTGCTGCTCTTCTCTCTTTCAGATCTTCCTTTATCGCTTCTCTGCATAGCTTCGCAAGTTCGCACGTTTGTTGACAATTGCCTGTAGCTCGCGCGATTCCACGCTGGCGTATCAGCTCGAGAGTCTTCGAAGAGAATCGTCTCTAGGCTACTTGTAGACTCTCTGTTTTCGTAGCACTATCGTGAAGATGTTCGACGAGCCGGTCGTATTCTTCGTCGATGTTGTCGATAACGGAATCTTCCCATTTACTCGCAAGGGAAGCGAAGTGGTCCCAGTTGATGGAGGTCCTGGGACTTCGTTTCCTAAACTTCATAGCTCTCTCTCCACGCACTAATAGGCAGAATCTAGCGCGGAGGAGACGATGGTCCGATCCCGTGTAGTACTTCGGAACGACAGCGAACTTGTCATTACTAGTTATTATTCTTAAATTGTATTAGTAACAATAATGATAATAATAATAATATTGATAATAACGATAACGTTTCCAATCTATGTAAACATTATCAGTTCATCTGAGACTGTCTTGAATGTTAGCAGCAAACCAGTTAAGCGAGGTCGCCCCACAGGCGAGAAAGTGGATGTGCGAGGAAGGTGCAAAGTAAGTAGATGTGGGACTAAATTGACTCACCCATCTTGACCAGATTCGAAAATTCCTCCTCACTTACCCACAGACATTAAACTGGATAAGTAGCATCCACCCTTTAGAGCTTCCCAGAATTCGCGCTGAGTTGTTGAGGAAGATGCGCTTTACAACAACCAATGCGTCAATGTGTCGTATATGTGACATGTTTTGGATTTGTGTAATCAAGCAAGGTTTGCCGTGGAATGAACTAAGTTGTGCCTAAAACTCTGCATCCATCACACTTTAGTCCATCATGAGGTTACAGAAAGACCGGGTTCCCGCACTTATTTTTCGGTATTGCCATCCACCGGTCTCAAAATCATAAAAGAAAATAGGAGATCGGAAAAACATTAAAAACCCCCATAACCAATTATATATGACTAACCGACAAAGTTGAAAATATAAATGAAAGTAAAATGTGCGATGCATGCCAAAAAAGTTGATTTTAGGAAACATCTAGGCCCTTCATCAAACGCATGGCAATCAGACACTTCAATTACTTTCTATGCGGTAGGCGCTCATTCACCTAAAATCGTCACATCTTTTAATTCAATGATATGGCAAAACATTTGAAGAAATTACCTTAGAGTGCCCCTTTTCCACTAGCACATACAAGTTTTTACGCGTGAGACTTCCTATAGCGTAATGCACCGTTTTCTGAAATTGTTGATCGCTCGGCAACGTGGAAGTGTTCCATGGCGTGATCGGATTCATCACCACTGAACCTGAACAAGTTGGTAAGTCCCATACCAAACTCGCAACCTCGGCCTCAACCCATACCCAAGGTAACATGTTGACCTCGAGAGCCTGGTTTCTCGTTGCTACTCCACATAGATGTGGTGTAGTGTCTTATGAAATCAGGGGTCTGATTACGGCGACGAGCGTCCGGAGTCCCTGTTGTGGCGGACATGCCTGAAAAAACTACCTAAATTAATTATACCAATAGAACGCTCAGTCTACCGTCAGCTGTGAGAAGGCTGTCTATTGTTAGCAAGCTAGTCATGCTACCAGTCGTTCCTCCCATGTCACCACTGCCCGACGGTGAGACATGCGCGAGTCGTACAAAATAGTGCTCCTGAAAGGAAGAAGCCATAAAAAATTACTTCAACTCAAAATAGGGCACGCATGATCACAAAGTTAAAATTCTTTGGGGAGTTCGCTATGTATACGTGGAAATGCGCTAGCTCTTTTGACCCTCGAAAAATAGAATCGACGAACATCTTCTAATATACTTCAGAAGTAATGTTCATGGGCGAAAATCTAAAAAATTGGAGTCATCTCCACTTTTAAAGACATCATTCTCTGAACCCAAAAGTATGAGCTACTCCGTAAGATAACCAGACTCGTCGCCGTCGCTGTTATCAGGAGTTCAGGTAAACTAACCAGTATCATCGACCTCTACGGAATGGTTATGCAGGTAGTCTTGAATGGCGCCTCGTGAGATAAGGGTGATGCACTACTTTTACCAACATTTGACAGAAAGGATGGCAACAGTCGTCAGAGTACAGCGCTTTGTTACACGGTATCAAAGGTGTGCTTTGCTCCACAATGGCGTTATCGTACGTGATAATTAGGGTCAGTTCTAACGGCATTACACATCAAATGAGAGTGGCTGAATGTAACAATGAGCAAATATATTACTTCCGCTAAGCGAAAGGGCCTCAAAAGCGCAATGGGCAAACCAAGGTTTGCACTGAAGGAAAAAGAGTTACGACCTTCTCCGAGCCCAAAAAAAGATTGGTTACAAAATGAACAACGGAAAAATTTTAACAGCTGTTGTATAATGGAATATAATCCAAATACCCCCAAACACGAACAACTCAAGATGGTAATTCGGTAAAAAAGCAGTTCGAATGAATTAGGGACACCAAAAAAGCAAAAAATCAGTACTTGAAATTCTGTGCTGTGAAGTGGTCCAGCATCAGTACTATCTTTAGAGACTAAAGTCATTCGGCTTCCGCCTAGTGTCGATACTGATTCGCTACCATGGAGCAGATTTGCCTGTAAAAATTGACCAGTCCTTCATCATGTCCAATAGAATGACTAAAAAAAAGTTTTAAATTTCGCATTACGGGAGCTGTTGTGGTGGTGATGTCTGTTCCTCCATGTCTGTTCATCCAAGGGGCGCCACTGGAAACTGCCCACTCTGTGGGCTGAGAGCTGACCACGGACATTCGAATGCAGGCGACAGGCCCCAAGACAGGCCGGCCAACGAACACCCCTGTCACATCAAAAATGTCAATGTCACTCAAAGAATTTCGACGTAACGCTACGGCAAGGAGCGCTTCGATGACCGCCTAATTAAGATCGTGGTAGTCATCGAACGCCAAAAATACCATCTTTTCTCAGAGTTTGCTCCGCAGACTAGATGCTCCGAGCAAACCAAGGACACGTTCTGGACACCGCTGAAGTACCGTGACAAGAAGCCATAGTTGTCGCAGGTGGCCTCAACGGTCACGTGGGCGCTGCGAAAGATGGTCATAGCTGCCATGGGGGTTTTGGATATGAGTCACGTAACACTGATGGCGAGAGAATTCTCGAATATGCAGACTCGCATAATCTCGCCACTGTAAGCACGAGATTTCGCAAACGTGACTCTCATCTCATCACATTCTATAGCGGTAAGAATAGAACACAAATCGGTTTTGTTCTTGTCAGGCACCGCGAACAAGGCCTCGTAACAGACGCGAAGACAGTTCCCTATGAAACGGTGGCAACACAACACCGACCACTGATTTGTACTTTAAAGATCGCCCCGCCGAAATCGAAACAGCAGAAAGGTGTGGGCCAGCGAAAATCAAGTGATGGCGACTGGAGGAGAAGATGCGATCGTCGTTTCCAGCATTATTTTACCAGTACCAGCGGTAACGACTGTCGACGAAACTTGGAAGGGAGCTGCGGAAGTGATAACCCGCGTTGCGCGATCGAAGCTCGGCACGACCAAGCCTGGACGGCGAAAGCTCGATAAGCAAACATGGCTGGGGACGGACCATGTCAGGGTAAAGTCCGTGAGAAGAAAAAGCAGTACCACGCTTTTCTCGAAAAGACGACTGACAACTGGCAACGCTATCAGATAGCGAAGAAGGAGGCGAAGAAGGTCCCGTTCAGAAGATACCCGTGAATGAGACCATTACGGCTTTGAAGGAGATGAAATCATTCAAAGCCACTGGCCCTGACGACTTAGCGGCGGATTTGTGGAAATCGAAAGGCTGGAATTCTGCAGGATGGTTGACGGAATTCTTCAACCAGGTCGTTACACAGAAGAAGGTGCCTGAGAGCTGACAACAGAGCACGACGATTCCTATTTGGAAGAAGAAGGGCAGTCCTGGGGACTGCACTTGCTATCGTCCAATTCGCTTGATCTCGCATAGCATGAGTATCTTTGAGCGAATTATAAATAGCCGTATCCGTGATATCGTCGAGCTGACCACAAACCAGCGTGGTTTCGTAGCTAGTTGTAGCACCATCGGTGCCATTCACGCCACTCGCCTTCTTCTAGAAAAGCATCACGAGAAACGAAGACCGGCACATCTCGCCTTTCTAGACTCGGAGAAGGCTTTCCATCGCGTTCCACGTCAC